ATAGTGTCTGTAAATCTGATCTGATTCAGATATAGTTAGATCTGTGAAATCAACTGAGAAACTAAACACTACAATGCCTTCAGCAGGTCTGAAATATAAAGGAGAGAAAACTATTAGATACAGTAAAGTACATTATGTACATTTCAAATCAAGGTCCTGTTTCGTAGGCAACTTTTAATGATGTACGGATGGAGTTGGATCTAACACCAGAAAATTTAGTTAGGCGTTTATTGGAAGAAATGAAATACATCAGATATGGGATATTCCAAAATCAAACAGGAAATCAGTCACATGATCTTGTAGACGGTAACTCTTTCAGCTGCATAACATAATCACAACAACTAACACTTTGTCACTGGCAGGATCTTTTGGAGACAGACTTGTGTTTTACCCTAATGTGAATAGTAAAATTAACATAATTAATAAGATAATGCATACTGGTTGCACCTGGTAGTGCAGCTGGAATATACTGACCTAAAACTGAAAAAACATGTTTTAGATTATAACCTTCATTTTAATGGCATTAGATGACTATATTTTCAAAATGTAATAGGTTCTACAGGAGTTCCTGGTCAAATTTCTTATTAAATGCAGTTGAAAAGTAAAATCCTTTCATGCACTACAGTGTTATTACGTGGGTTTAAAAGTGAGGTGCCACCGCAGTAATTGTGGCTTGTTTGCTTCCGCCTTCAACAAGTCTTTTAAACCTGACAAAGATTATCATTTAAACTAAACAAAATGTATTTATAAAGTAGAACTTGAATAGATACAGTATATTTTCCATTTCCCTTTTCTACAGAGAAAAAAAACACACCAAAAGTACTAGTATTAAAGGCCTATGCAATGTTTTTTTTTCACTTGTGCAAATGTCATTTTTCTATAGGTGCAAATCTGATTTGAAGTGTAGATGATGAAGATGGAGCTGAAATTATGTGTGGTGAGCTGAGGCACATGAGCCTTTCGAGCTTAAAAATACTGCAGTGTTGCTTCTGGGGTAAACTGCATCATGAGTCATTGAGTCATATTGATCATAGTCAATTAATTTACATGCTGAATGCTAAAAAAAACCTGCAATAATACATATTTAGCAGGCATGTTTTTTCTGTCTCTCTGTGGAGGTTGAATGTCAGACTCCTAAGCAAACATTCTCCTAAGTCTCCTGGAAGTGGATGGTCTTTTGTGTGGTCCCTTCTGCCTTAAAATCAGACTACACTAGATTCTTTGTTTTGGCATACGTCTCATGATGTTAAAATGTGATGAAAATGATCTGCTGAAATGTTCTGTTGCTTTCAGATATGTAATCCATTCGATGTCCCAGAAGCAGTTTTCAGTATATGCCTGCCAGCCCTGCGAGAGAAATCGAGATACTGTTATGCTTGAATACTGGCCTTGTACTCCCGTAACTGTTTACTCCTCTCTTCCCCTTTGTCTTTTCACCTTCAGTCTACTGACTGTAGTGTTAAAGGATACATCTGGTAAATCTATATTTTTCTTATTTTCAACAAATTCTTTGTAAAGCCCAAAACCAACAATAAATTTATCCCACTGACAACTATTGTCTGTGTATCCAAAACCTGATACATCCTATTCCTCTGTGCCATAGTGCTCCATTGTTGTTCACAAACCAATGAGCCGCATTGTCGAAATATTTAGTAGAGCACTAAATGTGTATTAATCCGCCACTGAAAACAGTCTCAAACAAATGCACTGTTTACTCCTGTTTGAGTAATGTTTGCTAAAATCTACAGCGCCCAGCTGTTTTTAGGTATTAAGTATTGAGATGTGGACTAACACATTGTTTGTCTTGGTACTTTAATAATAAACATTCAATAACACCAGCATTATCCGTTAACATATTAAATGGTTTGCTCATCAAAATAAAACTTGCTTAGGTTTTGAGATATCTGTCATTGGGATTTTTGCCTCCACCTCAACACAGTAAAGGTGACTGTGGCTCTCAAGACAGTGTAACATTACATTTAAAATCTCCACAGCAACATTTCTTGTCAGAAACAGTGTCCGTGTGACTCTTTATAAACCACAGAACACAATCAACCTTTTTTTGATAGGGACCATTCCTCTAGTAGAAAGAAGATTTATTTAAACTTGAAGTCAATTCAGAATGATTATTATATTCCTAAGATTTTAATGTTAAAATGGAGGCAAAGCAATTAGAAGTCTTTACTCACAAAAGTTTTCTATGAATCACTAGACTGATTATGTACTGAGGTCATCGCTGTCTTGAGTTCGGGGTTGTGTTCCCAAATGGCCCATAAATCAGTTGTTTTGATGAAAGTTTATTTTGAGTAAAAGACAAACAGATTTTAGTGGGTTTACTGTGTACTTTAGTACCCAGTACTGTGACAACCCACTGTGAATTATTTGCCATCATCAAAGAATGTAACCACATACTGAAACATCCATTCAACATGTTGTGTATTGAGTCTTACTCACACATGCTAAGATCATTTCTTCCTTTTTCCCCCTCCTTTTAATTCATCTTTTATTTTGTTAGCCATTTGAGCGTCGAGAAATAAAAGCATTTGCATTGAAAGGACAGGTGGGTGTGAGACACCAGCGCGCGTCTGAATCGTAGCATTAAGAGCAGGGAAAAATATCAAAAGTATGAACCATTCAGACGGCAGGAGGAGCAGGGATTTGAGCAGATATTAAAAGATGATTGTGCGTGGGCTTCTCTACTGTGCTCCAGAGAAAGAATGAAAACCCTGTATCAGTCAGACGGCGCATAATACACAGCAGAAACATCAGAACGCAGCACAACAAACACAAACAAAAAGAAGGATGGAAAAAAGTGTGGCGTATAAATAGTTCAAATATTTCAAGTGATTTCAGAATGCGATGGTGAAATACTGGATGTTTGTGTCCTCAGCCACAGCAAGTTATTTACTCTGTTGTAGTGTTCTTTTCACTGTAACTGTATGAAGGCCAGAAAAGTCCAATATAATACACAAATTAAAGTTGTTTTATTGATTAGCTATCATTATTATTAGCTGCTTCTTGATGTAACATATTTTAATCCAAGTGTCCAACATAAAACAAAGGTAAATAAATTTAAAAATTAAGTAATACATTTTAATCTCACTACATGAAGAGAGCTACATCAACACTAAATCATTGATGGTACATCAACACTAAATCATTGATGGTCATTTTTATCAATACTTTTCTGTTATTAAGTCTTTTTGGTTTTAAAATCCTTTGTTGTTTTCGTCACTTTGTCTCACATACCACTTTTTTGATTTGTTTTTCTCGCGTATCGGCGTTGCAAGGCAGGATGAGAGTAAAAAAGGTTCACAATTCAAAGTGATTTCCTGTCTTCTTTGATACTTTGTTACTTTTATTAAATTGGACACATGAATACATGTCAGAACACAGTGTTTTACCAGCTGCTGTAATAGTCTGACTCAATAGTTGAAATACAAAAAGTTGACTTGAATCTTACACACATATAATTACTGTGACTGCATGTACAGTGCATCCGGAAAGTATTCAGTGCTTCACTTTTTCCACATTTTGTTATGTTACAGCCTTATTCCAAAATGGATGAAATTCATTATTTTTCTCAAAATTCTACAAATAATACCCCATAATAATGATAAAAAATTTAAAGAAAACACATGTACAAAAGTTTTCACAGCCTTTGACACGACACTCAAAATTGAGCTCAGGTGCATCCTGTTTCCGCTCATCCTTGAGATGTTTCTACAACTTTATTGGAGTCCACCTGTGGTGGCCTTAGTCAGGGAGGTCACCAAGAACCCGATGGTCACTCTGACAGAGCTCCACCGTGTCTCTGTGGAGAGAGAAGAACCTTCCAGAAGAACAACCATCTGTGCAGCACTCCACCTATCAGGCCTGTATGGTAGAGTGGCCAGACGGAAGCCACTCCTCAGTAAAAGGCACATGACAGCCCACCCAGAGTTTGCCAAAAGGCAGCTGAAGGACTCTCTCTTAGCATCGTCAGTGTGAGCATGTTAGCACGCTAAAGTTAGCATTACAGCCTCACAGAGCCGGCTGTAGATTCAGAGTCTTGTTTGTGTACACAGCCTAAAGGCCTTACACAAACTCGGTCTTGTGAGGTGCTGTCCTACCACATTTAAATGCAAAACTTAGAAATGGCCACACTAAAAGACAAGAGGTCCTGTGTCTTTTGCGTGATTGGCACGTCCCATTCATGGTGCTGTCCTTGGTTTGCACACAAGAAGAGATGCTTCAAGAATGAAAAAAGAGAACATGAAAAAGAAGTTGAAACATTCAGACCTTAGGGTTGAAAACAAATATATCAGCACACCATTAAAGAATTTTTATCACTAGTGAGGTTTCGAACACAAGGCTCTTCTTCAGACTTCTGCTAAATAGTCACTTTCTTAAATACCCACAATCCATCTTATAAACGCATTGTGAAATACCACACCTGTTACAAATTTTCACAAGTCCAAGTAGTAAAAATTATATACATTTCATAATAAGGATATAGACCAATTGATACATCTAGGCAACATATATACAAATATACAAAAGATACATAATAAAATTCACATACAAGTACACTGCTAGCTACCATTTTTGGAACGTTACCTTTGTTGTAATGACACCTACCTGTTCAACAGAAATCCAATCCAAGTCCGCTTCGCTCTTCATCCCCATCTTTCTCCTTCAGTGCTCACCAGCGGATTCACTTTTCTTTTGGAGCATGTTTTGTCTGCTTGGCGTTTCGCCTTGCTATATTTGCGTTTTTATGCACTGTTTCTGCAATTTTTGTTGCTTCCACTCGGATGTGTGCCTACAATCTGGCACCTGGCCTCCCTCATGCCCTGCCCGCTGTTATTGGCTGCGAGCTACACACCCACTGCCCCTTATTTTTGAAGGCCTGTTGTGGTTTTCAGAGACTCTCCATCACATATGCTGACTGACTTGTCGTTCTTGAATTCACGGGTCCGAGCCTCAGTATTAAAAACTTTTTTGTCTTCCCTCATCAGAACCATGTGGAACCCAGTGAACAATAACGACCAGACGGGACAAGTGGCTGCCAGAATGGAGACTACGCCGTCTTTGGGTAGTGCGAGCATCTCCATCTCCCAGCAGCAGTCACCCAAGAAATTTGCCCCCATGGTTGCACCCAAGCCCAAGTTCAACCCTTACAAACCGATGGGAGAATCCAGCTTCTCCGACCCTGCAGGTAACAACACAGTAGAAACCACAAAATCATTGATATCAAGCAATTTATAATGAATCCTTTATATCATCAAGTCATATGCCATCATAAAATGAGATTTCATGGGCCTCCTCTTACCTATATGTCAACCACTTAAATCTAATATTATTATTACAGTATTTGTTTTTCTCCACTACCTGGAGAATACTTTTAGCATGTTAAGATAAACTGTTTTTACAGCTTGATCAGACCGAGCCCAAATTGTCCATAATCACCTGTATTACAAAAATCAGACTTTACTGACATTACAACTTACTTAATGTTTTAGTATTAGTATTAGTCAGCATTCATGTTCCAATTCTGCTTAAATTATTTATTTTTCTCAACAATGAATACAGCCTTCCCTTAGAAACTAGTGGACTTGAGTAGCAATGTCATTGTATTGATTGTGGGTAGTCCTACAGTGTCCAGCAGACAGATGTGAAAACACAAACTTTAAGTTTCACTGTAAAACAGCTACTGAACCAATTGCCTTAATATGTTGATTTTCTTACAAAACATGATTAAAATGGAATGTACTAAAGAGCAAATGCTTATTCACCCATTATTGCCATTTAATATTGTTTCAATAGTTGTGTATAATATATTTTTACAGTCCTAACGTTCACTGAAAAGATGTGACTCTGGCCTACAGTTGTCTGGATCTTGGGCCGACCTCATCAAAGCTTTTACAATCACCTGCAAAACAGAGCGGAGCACTAAATCATCCAGCCTTACATTTAAGTTTAATTCTAGTTTATTGCAACGCACACTTATTTTTATGGTGTTGGCCGTTGTTTCATCAGTTATGAGAACTTTAGATTGCGATGGTGTGTTCTTTTCATTATGTTATTGAGCTGTGGCTATCGAGCTGTGTGGCTATCAGAGTGTGTGACTGTGTGTATTTGTACGGCAGCTCAGACTCTGACACCACAACTCACTAGGAACTCCAGTACTTTATTGGCCTGCATTATTTTAAATCATCTTTGCCTAAAATATTATCCTTAATAATGAGCCGTAAAGCCTTGCAATAATTGCCCATTATGATGTTTCAGTTATGCAACCTCTATGTTCAGTCCGAGCACTCGTCTAGAAAGCTTTCCACAAGCTGCTCACAGAACAAACCATTAATGGTGCTCTGACATACATGTTGCTGATTGCATAATCATTTTGTGTAACTGTGAGGTGCTGGTATGTGGTCCTCCGTGAGGTATGCACTTTGTTTTAGTAAGATTGGCTCTTTGTATTAGGTCAATGATTTACATTTTACATTTTGAAAATTAAGATTTAAAAAGACAACACATTGGAAATTTAAGAGATCAATGTAGCATCGCTATTTTTACATTCTAAAAGAAAGACAGAGTTGCATGGCTAATTTCTAATAAACATACCGTGTAAGTGCTGTGGTTTGCAGTCATGTGTGAGTTCAGGAAGCCTTGTGTTGTCTGCTTTTTTTAGGCCCCTTGGGAGCTGATGGTCTGTTTGTATGAAAAATTATGTATTGTTACAAGTTAACCTGTAATAAACACATTTACTTAAGAGAGTTTTAGGACTATAACTTTTATGTGTAACTTATTTAATTAGTGTTCCATTGCTACAGTCATTATTTAGGATTATATTTTAGGCAAAGATGATTTAAAATAATGCAGAATTAACTTCAGGAAACGCAGGCTGTGCGCTACAGAGCATAACTGTGTGTTTTACATGAGACAGATATGACTCACACGTTGCGACAACTGCCTTCATAATCACCTTTGATGAATAGGATCTGTTGAGAGAGAGTCTCATATTATATGATGTAATATTTTGTTTCTTAAAAAAAAAGTTTTTTCCAAATGATAACGTGTTTAGACAAGTACGCAAAGAGGTAAAACGTGTATTTCCAATTTAAGTTTAATGGTCATATTTTAGTGTTGCATACATACATGCATACGCCTATTTTACTCAAAGAATCCCAATAATAGTATAATTTATGCAAATTAAGAGAAACCACTTTCTTTCGCTGTGAAGAATAATATGAAAATAATTTCATTTCAGATGTTTTTGGAGTCACTGGTATAGAACTGGAAACACCTACTCACTGTTACCTATAGGCCTTTTACAGACATTGATGCTTATTTTTTGCATATGCCCAAAGTGACTGTAGCAATTTATTGGAAAACTTAACCTCAACAAATTTCCTGAATCTCTATTATTATTGTTAAAATAATTATTATTTTCTACAAAAACATAGCCATCACTATTGAGTGCACAGTTAATGGCTGAAGTGAGCATATTTTTATATAGTAAAGGTAGAACATGACAATTACAAGAAACAGGATCATCCACCCATATATCTCCCACCTCCCCATCTGCCGTGTGAGTTGTAATGTGAACATTATCTAAACCTCTACCCTCAAACCCCCCTGAGAACCCTAGATTTCCAAAACAGGGGAAACGGTTATGAAATTCAGCAAGCAGTGAGCGCACTGTCAGGTTGAAAACACTCTTGTCTGTGGGGGTTTGTGGTTTGAGTTGTGGACCTGTCTGGTACTCCAGATGTTAGTTTTGTAAAAATTGTTCTTAGACGGCTCCTGTTTGAGCTCTGCCCACCACTGACAAAAAACAACATCACCAGTCTTGAATTTGTACTGAATAAAATGTGTTTTAGAGGCTCCCATCTCGTTAATTTAGTAAATTTGGCCTTAAGTTTTGCTTGTGATGATGACTTTTGGTGTCAATAGCTCCGCCTGGCCCACAATGAAAATATATATTTGGAGCTCTAGTAGATTATTTTGAGAGGCAGATATATTGGTATTATTTAATTAAATACTATTTCAGTGACATTGTCACACCTAGAAGAAAGACAAGCATAACCCTTGGATCTCTTAGTGTTTATGTTTACCTCTGGCCATGTTCAAAGATTTTTAGCAAATTAAAGAACTAGATTTTGTTCCCAGTTGATGATTTGTGGCATCATTAAAGCCTTGTAATTCCAAAATGTCATTTTACTACAAAACATTTAATCTAGACCCGTTGCCACTGTCTTATTTTCCACAATTAATCATTGTCCGGGTATTAAGAGGATTAATGAAACAATATAAAGAGGGTGGGGATACATTTGTAGAAGATAAAGTTGTTAAAATGTTTTACTTTGTAATATGAATGTTTTACTTTAATGAATTCATAGCAGAGTTACGTTGTTAATATCGCTTGACCTCAGTGACTTGAGAAAAAACTGTTAATCCCACTTTCTATTTTATCGCTTACACTGTTCCCATTGACTGTGACAGACAGTAATTACATAAACTGGGTAATGCTCACAATTTTTTCTTCATTATAAAGATTCAGTTGAGGTCAACTATACTGTTGATTGAAATGGAAAATATGGAGGAATCACTAATTAATAACTGTTTTAAAGTCCTTGCAGCAGTGTAATTTAACATTATCTTATTGCTAATATCTGAGAGTTTTCTGTGTCTTGTTGTTATGACTGTTGAGCAGCTACAACTTTATTTTTCATTAAAACATTAAAATTTAATAAAGATACCGATGACTGGTTGTTGTCAGCATTTTGAACATGCAAATATGTAAAGCCATCAGCAGACATCTCCACTTGTCAAAGGATAAGACCTCTTTATGAACAGATTATCTGGGTCTCTCTGTATTTATTTATTTAATATCTTTTATATCAAATGTGGGGACTGTCTGATGTAAAATTGAGGATTAGCATAAAAATTAGGGACGAGTCAATTTGGCACAGCGCCTCGCTGTCCCTTTGTCTAACAGAGGCCAGCATCAGGGCTGGAATGAGCAGTCTGAGCCCATGTTTATTGTGTGGACAAAGAAGCCAGTGCTGACGGGGCGGTGCACAGCAAGCGAGGTCTGCCGTCAGAACTTGTTCTGATTAAAACCCCAGCAGGAGGAAGTGAAAGACACATCTCAGGTCTCAGACAGTGACCCTTCACTCAAAATTCCTTACACCAGATCAGATTTTAGGGTTTAAGTTGATCTCATATGGTACATGTTCTGTAGGAAGGTCAGTCGTGATTGCTTTGTGAAGATGAATGTTACCATGTAGAGCAGCCGGTGCTCCACTTCTTTTATGCAGGTTCTTTTCTGCAACATCTGAACTTAAATATTTGTTTTCTGTAGCTAGTGTTGATTTGAAAGTTTTTTAGGGTATTTTAAAAGTACACTGGACAAAATACTGTGAATAACTGTACAAGGCAATGCAATCCAGTGCAGTAGCCTTGCAATAAAAACTACCTTTCTAAGGAATATTTTGTCTCAGTTTTGTTTCAACAGTATTGACAACAGTGTGCCATTTACTGTATGCTGTCAAGCTCTGGAAATAGTTTGAAAAGCCCTGATGTTATTGGCAAGATTGAAAGCGTAACTTGTGCACCCATGCATTGTGGTATTAACTGGCCTTCCTTGAAACGTCTTGTAAGAAAGAGACCTCACATCCCTGCTTCATGCTAATAGCTTACTTTTCTACCTTGACATCCTTTTTAGGTTTTACTGAAAGGCACAGAAATGTGTCCTTGATCAAATAATTTGCTTACGTATTATTGGCTTTCTGTGCAGCTGTCTGCATAGATCAACACATCCTGATGACTAGTTAGAGTATGCTCAGTGCTCTCTGGGACTTCTCTGTTTCATTGTAAACTAGGCATGAGGACATAGTGTTAAACGTGATGTCAAGGACAGTGGTCATATTCGTGAAAGAGACTAGAGATTCAGTTTCTGTTGACTCCGATCTGTAGTTTCCCTTTGATTCCATCCCTTTTGATGTTATATTGCCTTTTATTCAACACATGCACATGGTATCTTAATCAATATTTGGATAGATCTTAAGCTCCTGTCTTGTATTATTGTTTAATTTCCTGCTTTTATTTTTAGTGAAGTGTTTAAACAGGGATTTTATTTTTCTGTATGATTGTAAATATTCATAGGGTGTGACTGAAGACTGTAAGGCACCACAAGAAAATGTTTCACTCTGG